GGCGGGGAGCGGGCGCCTGTGCGGGGGGGGGCCAGCCGGCAGCGGGGAGCCAGGGCGGGCAGGGGCCGTGCCCTCACCAGTGGGTCTGTAGCGGACGAGGGGGTCCGAGGCCAAGCCAGGAAATCGAGTCGGTGCGTCGGGCAGCGGGAGGCGCGTTGGCCAGGCGCGGCTGCCCCGTGCCAGAGCTGACCTCGAGCACAGCCAGCCAAACCCCTCGGAGCGCGGCGGGAGGGGACTGCAGAGCCTTTTGGTACGCCCAGGGCCCTGACAGATCCTCTCTCCCTCGGTATCTTCACGTCTCTTTTCTCTTCTCTTCTGCTCTGTGAAAGAGAAGTACTTTGAACAGCAATGCTGTCCTCTGAAAAATGGCTGTGGTGGCGGCGTTTTTTTTTTGAAGGCTGTCGTAGGGCTGCCCGGCCAATGTGGGGGGGGCTGCAGGGTCCCCAGCAGGACCAGGCTGGTAGCTGCTCTCCACCCCACCTCTGTGTCAATGCTTCAGACAAGTTCTGAACCACGGTCATCCACAACCTCCCTGCAATTAAAGGTACAGCCAGCATCCAGCCTGCCGTCAGGTCATCCTTCCTCTTTCTCATCAACACATACAGCAATGGCCCAGTCTGTTGTCTCCTCTGGAGTCCCAGCTTCTTCCAACCTCTTTCCTCCTGACACAGAGCTCAGTATTGACACATTCCTAGTCCAGTTTTATTGCATTCATGATCTCATTTTAAAATAATCAGGTTACATGAGGATTATTTTCTGTTTATTATTCTCTTTTTCTTTCCTTGCACCACAGGGTGGGTGAGGAACGTCTTTGGCAACAACACCCTGGAGTACACAGTTCATTTCTGTCAGGGGCATTACGATTTTCTCGTCCGAATGCCCAAGGACATAATTGTACACATACTGTTGTTTCTAGATGCTGATGACCTTCAACAGCTGTCAAAAACATGCAAGAAGTCCCAGCAGGTAATGTCAGCTATCGGTGCTCATATTCAACTTCACTGTTAAGAAATAATGTGAGGTGGAACATTGTTCCAGTGTCGTTCAGTAGAACCATCCGCATTTCCACGGTAACCAGAGATGGAAAGCGGCACAACACAGAGACCTGGGCACAGATCAGTAGTAACAGGCCAGGTCCTTCATGCTGCGGATGATCTAAACTCTCTGTCTGGCCAGCTGGGTCCTTGTAACATTACTTTTCTCTCTGTTCACAAGAGCTGGCAACTGAGATCCTGATTAAAAAAAAAAAAATCCTGCAGGTTTTATGCAGAATATTCATATTTGACTTCAGAATATATAAACATCTTTAAAGAGTAAAAAAAAGCTTCCTAGTTCTGCATCTTTTTCTATCTCCTGCCTTCTGCACATTCTGGGAGGCAGTTATGGATCCTGCACAAACCATGAGTCAATATGTCATTTTTGTACTAGCATCTAAAACCCGCCTGTAGTTAGTCTTTGCCCTTTTGGAGACTATTTATTTTTTCTAATCAAGGCTGCTAGTTGGAATTGGGCAAAGAATACTCCATTCACAATTGCAGTCCGACGTCTTCTGGGTTTGTGTCAGTTTGGATCGAAATATTATCGTAAAGCCTTTAGTAAAGCCTTTGACAGCGT